TTAGAGGTTCCAGGTCCAAACCAAATGGGTGAATATGTATTATTATTATTTAAATACTTGATTATGATTATATTGTACTGAAAATAAATCGTCCTGAAAAAGACAAAAAAAACTACTTTGTTCTTTAAGAAAATTCAAACCGATAGACCGGCAAATGTTGCTTTATTCTTTTAGTTGATGTTTTCCCAAAGAATACTTTAGATAGTTTAGATGACATAAAAAAATCACTAACCATAGCAGTGTTCTAGCTATTTGAGATTTAATAGAAAACATACTGTATACCGTAATCTCTTCTTAGTGGCGACAGACTCCCATCTATATCCCCAAGTTTTCAAGTCAATTATTTAGATTGTTGCTAGTTATCAAATGTACTTGAGATAATTTCCATGCAAACGATTTCCTCGTGTTATCTTTGTTGTTTCTATTAGTTTGTTAAGCACTTGTTGTGTTTCCTTTTTTCGTTTATTTGTTTATCCGTTAAACAAATGTTGCCTTTAGAATACATAACGATTAAGTAAACTAAAAAAAATATCAGACTTTTTAAGCTACCTGTTTGACACAAGTTGTACAGTACTTGTTCTTCAGTTCTAACTCGTCCTTGAAGTAGACCCTTGGAAAAAGGTGGTTTAAAAAATGTTGCATCCTACTTAATATAGACCAAAAAATAAATCTCCACTTTTTGAGGATTTTTATGCTTATTTGTTAACCCAAATTCCATTTGCCATTTCCGAGTACAAATTTCCTTTGCACCTACAGTATATCCTATTTAGACATATCCATGTGTTTGTACCGCATCACATAATGCTGGGCTCAAGGCTCAAACTGAGGACCGGTTTCCACATTACATCAGGCTATGGCATTATCTTAATCCCCTAGGTTACTGGTGGGGGTTGAATCTTGATTTCTCGAGGGTCAAAAACCCACTATACTAGCGCCTTACTACTACCCACTGTACTACCCTGCTCCCAACACATAGGTAAATAATTAGTGTATAGGCAATGTTTCGGGGTAGCTCCTCACGCGCCCCTATAACCCTGAAGATGACCAAAAGTCCCCAAGGAACGTGTCTACATAGACCCCATAGTTACTCGCACTCACACCAAAGGTTCCCTATATAATCCCATAGTTCCTCGCACTCACACCAAAAATTCCCTATAGAACCCCATTGTCCCTAGCACCCACACCAAAGGTTCCCTTTAGAACCCCATAGTTCCTCACACACACCAAGAGTTCCACATAAACTCCCATAGTTTCTCTCACCCCCACCAAAAGCTCCCCATAGAACCCCAGAGTTCTCTCTCACCCCCACCAAAAGCTCCCCATAGAACCCCATAGTTCTTCACAGAAACCAAGAGTTCCACATAGAATCCCATAGTCCCTCACACACACCAAGAGTTCCACATAGAATCCCATAGTTACTCGCACTCACACCAAAAATTCCCTATAGAACCCCATTGTCCCACGCACCCACACCAAAGGTTCCCTTTAGAACCCCATAGTTCCTCACACACACCAAGAGTTCCACATAAACTCCCATAGTTCCTCTCACCCCCACCAAAAGCTCCCCATAGAACCCCATAGTTCCTCACCCACACCACGGTGGCCCCATAGAACCCCATACCGTAGTACCTCACGCCCACAACGAAAGCTCCCCATAGAACCCCATAGTTCCTCGCACTCACACCAAAGGTTCCCCATAGAACCCCATAGTCTCTCGCACCCACACCAAAAGCTCCCCATAGAACCCCATAGTTCCTCACCCACATCACGGTGGCCCCATAGAACCCCATACCGTAGTCCCTCACACTCACAACGAAAGCTCCCCATAGAACCCCATAGTTCCTCACACACACCAAGAGTGCCACATAGAATCCCATAGTTCCTCACACACACCAAGAGTTCCACATAGAATCCCATAGTTCCTCGCACTCACACCAAAGGTCCCCCATAGAACCCCATAGTCTCTCGCACCCACACCAAAAGATCCCCATAGAACCCCATAGTTCCTCACCCACACCATGGTGGCCCCAGTTCCCCGTGGAGGGTGAGGACGGGAAGGAAGTTGCCAAACGAAGGTCGGGAGTCAATTGGTCGTTTAGGTTCCCTCCATTCCGCCAACGGTCGCACGGTCCCGCGCTTGTACTGGTAAATAAATAGTTGGCAGTACAGTACATTATAAAAACAGCAGTCCCAGTTGTCCTACAAACATGTTTGACACTCGCTGTAAATATTGTAGGTGTTCCTAATGATAAGTTCAATCAGTGTGAAATAAAGATTTTTCAAGTGCCCCCACGTACCCTATTTACATATTACTTTAGAGGTTTAGAAGGTCGCGGCACTACCACATACATACAACCATTATACAACTCACTTGTTTGGCGGGATTTGAACCCGGGACCTCGGGGACAGATGCCCCGCTAGGCTCTATTTCACCTTCACCGTGCAGTACGGATCACCAGTAAAGCATTTATTGCAGATACTGCATTAAGTTTTGACGCTCAATCATGACTGAACGAAGTCCCAGATTATTTCAATGTTGATTCAAAAGTTTACAAAAATAAAGAATTACAAATTAGTTTATCTACGCTTAACCAGTATGTTTAGAATACGTTGTGATACATTTTATCCTGAATTCTGATTTACATTCTCGCACGCAATGGGAAGTACGGCATTGACATCTAGATCGCTCTATGCTAATAAGTATAGAAAAGAATGATATATGCCCACAATGGTGGAGACAGAAATGACCTTCGATTCCGTAAACAGTCGCAGACCGTGAAACGATCAGAGATATTCCAAAATAGGATTACCTCGTGGAATGACGTCACAGTGTTTTGCATTCAATAGTAAGCGTTGATTTAATAAGTAGGCTTATTGTGATAGGAATGCCTTTTAGAAGATTATTGCGTACTATATGATTAAATGATTCTAAAATAAATTAAAAAATACCAGTCATTGGAAATACAGTACATTTTTGTGTAACAAATAAATGTTTGGGTATGAATTCATATTTGTTTATGTAACATACTTTATACTTTTAAATACTTTAATACTTTTCATTGAAATGGCGACCATACAAAGTAGGTATTTTAACCCAAGTATGAATTGAGATGAGAGGTGCGATCTTGTAGTCTTCTTAGTGACAAAGGCTGACATATTCCTTAGCCACAGCTGTTAATTAATAGCAATTAATAGTTAATTAATAGTTAACTAATGGCAACTAAGGGACCTACAGTTTATAGTGGAATCCGAACCACATTTTCCCCTTGGTATATACGAATTGGTCTAATTATTAGGATAGTACTGCGGATATTCGTAGTACTCGGTAGTGCGGACGTTAATCCACGCCAGGGAGTATCGTATCCCCAGTACATACCTATAAATATCCACAATTCGTGACCTCCTTGTACTCGTCGATGGATTACAGGTCGTCACCACCGTCCCAGTCATTAATTAATTAACAAATAGCAGTAATTGCAAATACAGTACATTTTATTTGTAAAAAAAAATCAAATATATTTGTGTATGAGTTCATATTTTTTTATGTAACATGAATAGGCCTATGGAAAAAAACAAGAACAATTAAATTGTGTTGTCACTCGTTAAGTAGGTAGGTTTAGTCAGAAAAAATATTCAGTAATACAACAGTTTTATCAGCATTGTTTATTGTTAAGTGTTGTTTGTCATTAGCTAAATATTTTACGTTAGTTAATATATTTCTAAAAATACCCACTCATTAACTGCTAAAACATAATTTTTGCAACAAAAAATTATGTAGATGGATTTAAAATACTGAAACGTCGTCAGCAACCATTTTTTACCAGTAGATTGCGTAAAATTACCACAAGAAGTCTTTAAACAAGTTTCTTGCTTATCCTAAGTTTCTTGCTTGTTTAAGTAACCTTTAGTAATCTTTGGTATAATTTCTTACTAAACTGTGCTTCAAACGTAACTAATTTGCAATATGATGTTCTCCTGTCTACCCCAACCAATTTTTACACAATTTATTCGCATTTTTATAATTTTATCGTACGATAGTTATTAAGCTTCTGACCTTACAACTCGAATACCTTTAAAAAAAGGTGGCCATGCACAAAAGTAGTGGACAATAGAGGAGATTTCGGGGGTAGAAGACCATCAATATTCTGGGTCTGTGACAGGACTATAAGGGGCGGTTTGGGAGCTCGGTATTAGCGCTAGTCCGCGACTAAATCCGGATATTTCCGGTATTTTAGGCTGCCGCCTCGAAAACGGGTTTGTGAGCTCGGGATCAGTAAGGCGCGCGCCTAACTTGTGCAGGGATAATCTCGCGCCTAAATATTGTTGGTTTGGGAGTCAAGTAGACTTAGACGCCAGCCTAAGAGATAGTCTCGGTGGGTTTGGGAGACCAATTTCGGGACTAAGAGGTATGTTTTCGTCATAAAAATCAGTGAGTTTAGTCCCCAACTTTAGTCCTGCCAGAGGGCAGGTCTAAGTCGACATCATGCCGGTATTAGCTCATTAGCAAGTTTATTGTTTACATATTAACTAAAAGAATGTTATATTGGAATTCGTTATTAAATTCCGAACATTTTCATTACCCTCAAAGTATATTTGAAAAAAAAAAATTTTTTTAGGTTTCTTAAGTTAAAAATAAAACAAAGATCGCTTTTAACCAACAATTATTTTGTTTTTGTATTTATTGTTAGATGCAATATAAATATAGGCAATAACGGGAGTTGTTTTAACCGAGAGTTTGATAATAAGCACCCAAACCTTTATTATAAATAATCTATTTGTTATAATAAATATTCACTACGAAAAAGTGAGCATATACGTATTCCCCTGCACTCCCTCTCCTCCGATTATGAAAGAGTGGAGAAATAAAACGAACAATAAAAATAGATCATAAAAACTGCTCAGAATCACTGCTCACTGCTCAGTCTTTATCGATCGTTTCAGTGTTCAAGTACATTATTGTGACTGTGCTCGTGTAGTGTCATTGACCGCGCGCTAGTGATATGGAGTACCTCGATAATTTGGACTATGTCAGGATACATCCACCTCGCATACCTGGTAGATATCGTAATTTTAATCCATTGAATGATCTGTCAGAAGAAGAGTTTAGAGACCGATTTAGATTGTCAAAGGATGCAGTGAATGAATTAATTGAATTATTAACTCCGAGGCTAAGAGCTCCTGACCCGAGAGGCCCTCATGGGATTCCTATCTGGAAGAAAGTATTGATAGCCTTACGTTTTTTTGCTGTAGGTAGCTTCCACAGAGAAACGGGTGATTTATTAGATTGCGGCGAATCTACTGCTTGTCAAATAGTTCACAAAGTGGCGCTGGCTATTTGCTTGGAATTAAAGAGAGAATATATTAAATTCCCCTCGGGGGATTACGCAACCGAAACTAAAAATAGTTTTTACAACAAGTACGGTTTTCCAGGAGTTTTAAGTTGCATTGATGGAACTCACATTCCTATTGTCTGCCCTGCCACTCCGGACAAGGAGGAGTATAGGAACAGAAAAGGCTTCTTTTCCATCAATGTATTAGCCGCTGCTGGTGCCGAACTAGAATTTACGTTCATAGTTGCACGATGGAAGGGAAGTACACACGACTCGAGAGTATTTAAAAACTCATCCCTTTACGCTAATTTTGAGGAAAGAGACATGGGTGGCCTGCTGATTGGAGATAGCGGATATGAATGTAATAGGCAAGTATTATACTTTAGTTTATAATTTAATTAGTAGGTGAAACAATATTACATATTAATGCAACCCTGACATGAAGTAATGAGGTACCTAGCTATTAATTTTATCAATTGTAATAACAGTGTTAAACCTATTGTTATTTTTTTAGTATTTAATGGAGTGTAATTAACAATTTATTGTATATTGTACTGGTTTTGCGTACAACATTTTGTAATACCATTTTGAGTGTAGCCGTTTTGGTCTTCCATACGAAGTAGCCTACAAATGAACTTTCTAACATAGTAACATTTCCAACCGATCATGATAAAATAGCCTAATATTTATTTATACACACACACACACACACACACACACATATATATATATATACAAATGTATAAATAATATAGCCACTGCTGAATGTATTGAATCGATTTCAGGTTCTTGATGACACCTTTGTTGAATCCTGTTACTCCTGCCCAGGGACGTTATCAAAGAGCATTAGTTCGGACAAGATCGAGTGTCGAAAGAATGTTTGGTCTATTTAAAAACCGATTCAGGTGTGTGATAGTGTTAAAATAGGAAAATATTATATTAAGGGTGTCATGTCTAAAATTGTATAGTAAATTAGTTTTATAAATTAGTGTAATCTATTTACAATCAAATTTTATGTAAATGGTTTAGGCCTCTTATTAGTTTTCACAACGTTTATATTACTTTGCTTCCTTGTTTGTTAGGTACAAATTTTGCAATAGATTTTACACTAACTTCCCGAGCTAGAAATTTGAAACTCGCAAATGGATAACAATGCAATATCATTATAATTTTCATATTTCCCTTGGGTCTACGCCCCGTGGGTTTCCAAATTTTCCATGTTTACATTTTGGAAGCATGTAAATAGTCAAATACATCAATTGAAGTCAGCTGTAAATACCTTAATTTAAAATTGTTAAAAGTTAAAAATAAAAAAGGTACAAAGCAAAAACGTACAATATATAACTAATAAGCTACTAATTAGCCAACATTGATGATATACCATGATTTAATGGTTTTCATTAACTGCAATATTAATTTTATCTGTATATCTTCCAGGTGTCTTCACAATGACAATACTTTACGCTTCAGTCCTCGCAGATGTTGCATCATCATCGTTGCATGTGCTGTGCTCCACAACTTCGGGATAAGAAGGGCATTATGGCAAGATGTTGTGGACCCACTAGATGACGTTGAAGCCATTGCTGATGATCCTGTGGATGAGAACGACCTCCCTGCTTATGACCTTCCAGAAGGAATTTTGTCTCGAAACGACATTATCCGTCGTCACTTTTCCTAGAGAGTGTGCTAGAGACCTCAGTAGGAATAACGCAAAAAGTTTTGTTACACCTTTTTATTACGTTCAATTAAACGGGGCTCGTGTGACTAATAAAATTACACTGTTTTGAAAAAAATAATGTTTTATTGTTATTGACGGCTGTACAGTTAGGAAATACAAATATGTTCACACGTAAACTGCATACATTTGATTTTGTACTTTATTCTGAACTAAACTGTATTACGATATTTTATTTATTATTGTTTGTTATAACCAAATAACATATAACGAAAAGGTTGATTTTAATACTTGGCAAAATTAATAACTCCTTCCACCTGAACTAACAAACTAAATTTATATAAGTTCAACACTAATTTCAAACGAAATAATAAAACACTTTTATTAATAAAAACTATCACCTTAGCCCTAAAAACCGGGGAAAAATTAAAATAGTTATACATACAGTACAATACCTGAACTAACAAACTAAATTTATATAAGTTCAACACTAATTTCAAACGAAATAATAAAACACTTTTATAAATAAAAACTATCACCTTAGCCCTAAAAACCGGGGAAAAATTAAAATAGTTATACATACAGTACAATACCTGAACTAACAAACTAAATTTATATAAGTTCAACACTAATTTCAAACGAAATAATAAAACACTTTTATAAATAAAAACTATCACCTTAGCCCTAAAAACCGGGAAAAAATTTTAATAGTTATACATACAGTACAATACTATTACCAGTACCTATTAAACGTTAGTAAAACATTGTTTCGTCTTTGGGCTAAACAGTCGTTATATGTCTAAAAGAGATTATTGATTACTAAGACCAAAAAAGTGAAATCATTCCTTGGACCGGTACTAAGTAAAGACATTATAACGGAATAAATATATGATAAATATTCAAATTGATTATATACTAAAGAAACAACCTGAAATGTTTTTAAATAAAAAATAACCCCCATACCCTAACCTTAACAACGTATTAGTAAAACATTCCTAAAATTAATATTGAACGACTTATTACAACATAAATCGAGCAAAAATACCATCAAAAATACCAAAAAATCATATTAAACTATCGTTCGTTTTGGTTATACAGGTTTTAGTTTGTAAGGTGTTGACTGAAGAGCTGAAATGTTCGTTGCTCTGAGCTTTCTTCTACATCTCCTTCATGATGTTCGTGGCTAGCTTCTTGTCGAAGAACAATTCGTTTTTTCAATTGCCAATAACTCAGTTCTTCTTTAATTACTCTCATTTTTTCCTCGTGCTCCAGTTTTAAATACTCCATCCGTTTTTTGTGGAACTCTTCGGCATACTTCACAACTTTCTTGTGAGTTTTCTTTGTACCAACTGGAGGAGGGGTTGTAGAGGGGGTATTACCACCTGTAGTTGAGTTTTCCGCTCTCGATGACGAAGCAGGAGATAGGAATTCTACAGAAGTGGGGTCGTCAACGGTTTGTTCATCGTCCTCTAAAAAGAAAATCCTTTCATAGTATTGAAAAAATCTACGTAAACTAATGTAATAGTTGGCAAGTGCCTTATTACTTGCATTATTGTAATCGTATAATTGTTCCGTTTAAATGCCTAAGCACTGCATGTCAGTTAATCAATTTTTAAACCGATAATTTAATTCTTTATTACGATAATACTGTTAAATATTAATGTGTTATTATGTTGTTGTTGTTATATATACGAAGACTGTATAACAATTTTTGACTTTGCCTATTGTATAAATGTAGCCTATATACACAATGACAATAAAGAGATTTGGTTTGATTTGATTTGATTTGTATTATTGATGAAAAATCCTGTGGGAAAATGTATGGCTCTTAACATTCCCGCTTTTCCAACATTTTAAAATTCCTAAGCTTTAAGGTGACGATCTAGTTGAGCGGGCAACCTCAAGGTCATTGCACCAGCCCCCTCTCACTCCTTACCCCTTGGCGAGGGAGAGCGTCTTAGGGGGTGGTGACCGCCAACGATATAAACAACTCGTGACCGCATGACGTCACTAGGCTGCAGCTGGTGCTTCCCCCATCTGAGGATTCACAAGTGAAACTTCGTGGATATGTTAATCCATATATGGAATCCATGGATTTGTAATTGTTACATATGCAACACATTTATTATGATTAATATAAATTCTAGACATTGTTATAATATAACTTACTTCATTATTGATTACTTTTTAATTTTTACAGACATATGAAATTAATTTAGATTTTTCAATTATTTTGTAAATTTTTTTGGCGTGGGAATGGGAAATCTGTATGTATTTGATATTATTATCACCTATTGTGTCTTATATACTTATTCACATCAGAATTTATTTGAAGGCTAGTTATGTTTCCCTTAAGTTTAGAAAAAAATGATTTGTGTTATTGCAACAGATACTTTACAATTGCAGTTTTATCTTAAACTCAAAACTATGTCGGGGGTAAGGAGTCGATATGTTGTAAATACAAATCGCAACATCTCTTAAACATTACAGATAGCTGGATTTAATTTACACCTCTGTTCTTCGATGAATTTGAATATTATTGAAATTATACTTAAAACATTAACCTTCAAAGAGTAAACTGTACCATTAATATTAGTGAGTAAAGTGTAATATTTAATAATATTAGTAATATTTCACCACAACGGGCACTGTTGCTAGTAAGATTATACTCACCATAATCATTGTCATCATCGGGAATGTATTCCAGAGGTGTTTGATCTGCCAATGTTTCCTCCATTCCCGTATCTTCCTCTGTAGTTGGCGATGGCGGTCCTCCCCCTGTTTTAAATTTACTACGACGTTCGGCAGCTTTCTTTGTTTTGTAAGTGCTTTTAATTCTTTTCCAAGCAGTTTTTAACTGGGGGATGGTTCGCTGATGTACAAAACTTTGCGCATTAAACTCTGTTGCGATTTTCTGCCATGCAGTTTTACGAATGGATTCAGTCTTTTGGTCGTGCAATTTCTTTTCGATTATTGGATGTTTTAACACCAATTCTTTGACTAAATCTAGTTCTTGTTTGGACAAATTAGGGGTGCGCTTCGCGGTCTTCTTGGTATCAGCCATGGTCAATGTGACACAATAATACAATTAAACGCACTGTTTCTATATCACTACCACTTAAAAAAAGTAATCAACCGCACTGTTTTATATCACTACCACTTAAAAACAGTAATCAAACTCACTGTTTTCACTTAAACAAAGTAACCATACACAATCTTTACTAAGCCAAACTAACTAAAACAACAAAAAGAATGATCTTAAAATAAAAAAATTACATCAACGCCAAAACTCACAACCTCCTCTCGAACTACATACACCAAAATTTGACAGAAAACTAAATAGTGTCAGGGCATATCCCCCCTCTCCAAGGGTGCTTTTGTTGTTGTCGACTGTCACGAGTTCTGCAGTGGCCGTTGCCAACCCTACAACATAAATTCCCCGCGATTCCCTGTCCATCTAGCCGCGCTGCGACTTAGGCGCGCCTATACTTGATCTACGACCATTTCAACTTAGGCGCGAGCTCCCAAGCCTGGTTTCTGGTCCTGGGACTAAAGTTAGGCGCGTCCAACACTAGGCGCGTACTAGCTGGGCTCGAGCTCCCAAACCGCCCCTAAATAACTGTATTGTTATCTGGTGACGCGCCTTCCAACTCCTCCACCCACAATACACAATACAGGGTGGGGAAGAAATTACCGCTGTTAAGAGGGTAGATTTGTCTTTATTTGGCAGATTTGTTCGTGCTGAGATAAAAATGAAAATGTATCCATTAAAGCGGTTGGGTTTTACACAATTTGTTATGCATTTTTTGACGTTTTATTTATTTGCATAATATAGCAGATAGGGATTATTAATTGTTTAGGTTTATTTATGGTATTCAATTTCAGGGTGTATTTACGGTATTGTTTATTCCAACATTACTTCTCATTACGTGAATTTTAAACTACAGTAATAACCTAATATATATCAACTTTGGGTCCAACTTTGATTTAAAATTTGTGTGTATAAAATATCAATGTTTGAAAATTGCTGAATACATTTGTCTCGTGTGGAGGAAGCATGAATGATTTCTAGAAAGTACGTGTAAGCTTTTTAAAATAATAGCAGACATTGTATTCATTGGATAAGCTAAGTTAAATTTATGCCACATTTACGTTTAAGGTCAGTTATAGGTTTGTGATATTATAAACAAAGCAAATTGATACAATTCTTTGTGCAGTGTCCCTATTCTGTCTAAAGGGCAGACAGATTATTTGAACTAATATGAATACATTTTACACTTTAAAACATATAAAACATACTTATCGTCCTAATTGCTGTAGACCCTTGTGGGGTTTCTTATGTGTATTATCAAATGAGACTTGTTATCAAATTGACCTCATATCGTGGTTTGCAGCATGTAGTTAACAGTAATATAAATCAAGGGTATTTGAGAGGGATATTTTTTTTATCAGGGTCACTTTTATGAAGAGTATTTTCATCGAGGTTCCACTTTTGACGCAGAAAAGATTTTCGTAAATACTTTACTTAAATACTTTTCATTGAAATTGCGACCATACAAAGTAGGTATTTTAAGCCAAGTATGAAAGTAACATTCAACATAGTGCTACGTTCTACGTTTTTAGGTGACCCAGTTTTCTCGCAAACTAATTTATCTTAAAATCGGCGAAAACGGAAACCGTGTCACCACTTTGGTAGTCCATTATGGTTGACACCAGGGGTGTGGACTGTAGTGGACAGTTAGAAATACTTCCGCCTGAGTTGTGGCTATTGTTGTCTGTAGAAAGTAGGTAATCGAGGTAAAAGCTGTTAGCAAGCTTATCAGGGCGGGCGGTGACTTTAGTATAGGGGAGAGTAATTTCAAGTTAAATCTGTTTTGTAACTGTTAAAACTAATATAACAATATTTTGGGGAAAAGAAGGGAAACTGTAATTTTGAATTATTTTTCTCAAATTGTTAGAATATTACATAGTGATAACTGCCTTATTTTGGAGAAAAACTTATTAAAATTTTAATATTTGTCATCCAAAATCACACTTTGGCTTGTTTAGGGGGAGAGTAAGTTCAAATCTTTTGGGGAAAGAGGGGGAACTTTAATTTTGTGTTGTTCACCTCAACTCGTTAGAAAATTACCATGGCGACAACCGCCATCCATATTTTAGGACAAAACCGATAAAATTTTGAATATTTCTTATCGATAGTCAAAATCGGGTTGGTATGGGTGAACATTTAAATTTGAGTTAAATTTGTTGTGCAACGTTTGGAAACTTATACTATAATCTTTCGGGGGAAAGAAGGGAAACTGTAATTTGGTACTGTCTATCTCAAACTTGTTTGCAAAGTACAATGGTGACAAAAACCAGCCATATATTGGAGTAAACCCAATTTAAAATTGAATATATGTGTTCCATACTTGTCCTAAATAATTTACGGTCTTCTCATTTGCATTTGTATTGTATACAAAAATCTTAATGCTACCTGATGCGCCGAAGGAGTGTGCTATTTCGCTGTCATTAACTATTCACAACAATAATAATTATTGGGTTAATATAGGGCTAATAACCTCTTATAAGATTTACGATGACAATTATTATTGTCATCGTAAATGATATTATTATAGTGTACAAAGTTATTAGCCCTATATTCCTTCTTTTTAATAACAGTTTACTTTAAAACATGTATTTATCGAATTCATGCTGATATAAATAGAGCTTGAACATAAAACGTAACTGTATTATTTTTACAAATAATTAAACATTGGACCAACATTATAGAAAGAATAAAAAGGAAGACTTGAAACATTATAGCAAATATAAAATTAACCTTACTTATAGATAAATTATGGGCATTAAGGTCAATAAAGGAGGAAAAAGAATTTTAAAATCAGTAAATCAAATTCAAGAACAATGTAGAATATTGTTTTTGTATTACTTAAGTACTAAATAATTTATTTTTGTAAAAAAATACAACCGACTTCAAACGCTCTAAAAAGAATGAAATAATTTCAATCAAGTAAACTTTTGTATTAGGCAAGCTCACGTATTTTAAGTCGGCGCGGCTCTATGATGATTTTTGATACAAAATTTAAAGAGGGTGTCCATATTGCAGATGACTATCTATAACTGAAGGTGTTAATCTGCATGTCTTTATCATAGTTATGCGTTAAGTGTTATTTTATTACCGTAATCAGAGATCGGCATTATAGTGGTATTAACGAGTATCTTTAAAAAGATTATAACGCATTTTAATGTTTCTAACTTGGATAAGTAACGTTTTAATACTAAACTAGCTTCTTTTCCCTATCATAATATCAAACTAAATTATTTTCCTATTCATATAGAAAAATTGAGTGTGTTATTTTCATAATGCATATATTCTTAAGTAAACATAAAATACATGAAGATATTTCCTTCAATATATAAACAAAACAGTTCAGTATGTTTTTTATATTTATGTTATCCAGCTAGAATTTATTGATTTTCAAAATACACCCACAATATTTAATTTCAATCATATTTGCAGTTTGAGCCGCGCCGACTTGAAATACGTGAGCTTGCCTAATACAAAAGTTTACTTGATTGAAATTATTTCATTCTTTTTAGAGCGTTTGAAGTCGGTTGTATTTTTTTACAAAAATAAATTATTTCATGATTTTTAGTGACTGTATAATATTATATATATTAATTATTTGAGGTTTTTTGATAAGCAAAACTGTTTGAAACAATCAAAAGTTCCACAGAACAATCATTATTTTAAAACTGCTTGAGTCACCTGTTCAGGTTACATAATCAATGGGTATGAAAATAAACGTTTTTATTAAAAATTTTTTTTCAAAATAATTTAACCTTGCTGTTTATTTTTTTCCTATCCAGGCTAACCAGTAAAGTTAAGACTAACAAGTGAAAAAAGTATTTTGTAAACTTGACTGTTCCAGGCTCATATTTATTAGATAGATAATAGATATTCCTTAAGAAAGAAAGAGTTGTCCATTACATTAGGCCTAATGAAAAACTAATTGTCTTTTCTAGATACATTGAAATGTCAGACATCATCGTTTCCTGCAATCGGTGTACTTCAAGCCTTTTGGAACAATATGAAAGTTATTCCTCAGCTACCAGCACTAAAAAATCTCTCAAAAGTGGAAAATTGGTCGTTAACACGTATAGTACCTTTGGAAAATATTATATGACAGATTGGTTCAGCTAAAAGTGGTGTAAGTCATGTAGGGGGTTTTGTTTGCTCAAGATATAGCCTAGTCGAAATTGCAAATCATCTTCCTCTAGGACTTTCCGAAGCAGGCATAATAGTATTGATATGTTATAGTAACTTAGTGCAGTAGAAATAATCGAAAATATAGCTTAAGGTGGAACTAATTGCAACACAAATGATTCTTGCTGTGAATGGTAGGTAGTATGTTTCTAATTAACATACTAAAAATATACATCCGTACTGTGGCGCAAAATACGTTTTTTGGCCGCCATCTTGAAAAAAGTTTCAAAATTTTAATATTCGTAAAAATAACTTTTTGGGTATCAAATTATAGGAAATTTAATGCTGAAAAATGTTATAATAGTGGTTATAAGCACTATTTAGAAATACGATCGTAGTACAAAATACCCCCGCTGCAGCAAACCTACAGACTAAACGAATTTCCATTTGTCTTAATTGATTTTCAATTAAATCTAGTAATTCAGTTTTAAAAATCTTTGTACAGCTAAATCTAGATTTCTACTGGACCGATTTTATAACCTAATGGGTCATTGGAAAGGAATTTGTGTAGATTTTCAAATAATTATTAAAGTTTGATTTTTCAAGATTTGCTAGGTGAAACCCGTCAACGTCGACAATTAGCTTAGGTACTGTTGAGTTTGCAAGTAAGATCTTTTTAACTATAAATCGATGATAGATAACTCTATTTTTAAGCAATTTGGGTCGTTTATAATTTAGCAGTGTGCTTTAGGTACGTCCAATCTCAATAATCAATAATTCCAATGGAATCTGGTATTTCACTGAAGATTTTTAGATAAAAACATAAATGTAACTGCTGGAATACATTTTAAATTGAA